GCCAAGGAAAAGGCCTGGCAAGAGGAGAAGGAGAGGAAGGAACGCGAAGCGGAGGAGGAGAAGAACAAGGCTCGGGCGGCGGGCAGAAGGGCGTGGCGCGGGGTGGGGGGGGCCTTGTTGAAAGGTCGGGGGGCCTCTCGGAGGCCATGCCGCCCCCTGCGAGGCATTCATTCTTGGAAGGCTCCTTGGGCCCTTTTGGGGCCCTCTTCTTCTCAGCGCCACTGAGACGCATTGCGCAGCGACGGGTGGTGCTTCGGCAGCACGCCGGAAGGCGCAGGAAAGTGAGGAAGGCGCAGCAGGGTTGCCCTTTTCGCGCGGGCTGGTGCAGGCAAGCCGCCCTCCTGCATCGGCCAAAGCGCCCGTCGATGGAGCACAAGCGAGGGTGGCGGTGACCCCCACCTTCCAAGATGCCCCCGCCGAGGGAAGAAACCCAGACCCCCGACGTCGTGATTTTTTCACAACGTCCACCCCCAGTGGTCTGGACCCCTTCCTCGGGACCGTTTTTTCATCCTGAGTAGTTTTTTAATGCTCCTGAGGCCCTGTAAGGGTCTCGGAGGCCGAAAATAGCCAAAACACCGCCGTCGTGTTTTTTTCGCAACTCGAGGGGGTCTGGGAACCGCGACGCCACCACAGTCAGGGATGCCGCCTCAGCGTGGAGGTCCACGACGACTCCCCGAGTTGGGGATGGGGGGCGTCTCGAGCGGGGAGGGCGGCACCGCACCACCAGGGGGGTCCCGTCTGGCTCCTCGCGCTGGTCCCCGAGGTCCGGCGGCAGGAAAAAATACAGCTTCGCAGCAAGCTACCCGGGGACGTACTCCGAAACAGCGGCGGCCGCTTGCCTGCTGTGTTGGTTCCGTTTGCGCCAGTGGTTTCTTTGACCTCGCCGGCTCTCTGGCACGGGGGTGATACGTTTTCCGACGAATTCGTATCTTGTGTTATCTGCCGTGCCGTTGATTGCGTCCGTCTCCACACTTTTGGTGAGGAAGAAAACGGCTTTCGAGTGCAACCGGCATTCGCGTTATGACGGTGGTTCTTGAATCTTGCGGTGCGCTCCCACCTTCTCCCTCAAAAAAAGCAACCTGGGGACGTACCCAACCCTTTGTTGTACACATGAGGTGACTATACATCGGGCCGCTCAAGAGAAGCTCAAGCACGGAAGGATCCGCCGTGCTCTTGAACGCTTCGACAGAGAGAACCTGGGGCCAGAGCCAAACGTTTCACATTCGCGGCATCACTCTGAAGAGTCAGATCGTTACCCAGAAGTCGACCACGAGGGGGCGTGGGAACATACTGATGAAGGGGGAGCTCAAGACATGCGTCGTGGGAGTAACCAAACATCGCGCTAGGTTCTCATTGCAGAACAGCGCCATGCGCGCTATGACACAACAGCGGCCTGCGCTAAGCGCTGCAAGTGCCCGAGTGCACTAAGGACAGGAGGCACAAGAGGCATCTGAAGAGTCGATGCGGAATGGGCACATGACAGCGCCATGCACTCCGTGGCGCCCCATCCCGCTGCGATCTGCGATCGAACAGCGCAGCGAGGTCTCATGGTGGCCCCTCCGCTGAACCTCTCAGGAGCCCACGAAAGTGGCGACATTTTCGCAGATCCCAGCCCCCCCGAGAAAGCGAGGACTCGTGGTGATCTGCGTGGGACGTACCTCCGCTGGGCATCCCGGGACCCCCCACGAAAGTGGCCACAGTTTTGAAGATCGCAGCCCCCCAGGGGGCGGCCATGTCTCGTGATGATCTGCGTAGGACGTACCTCCGCTGGGCCTCCCAGGAGCCCACGAAAGGGGCGACAGTTTCGCAGATCGCAGCCACCCATGATACGGCGAGGTTTCGCGGTGATCTGCGTATGACCTACCTCCGCTGGGCCTCCCAGGAGCCCACGAAAGTGGCGACAGTTTTGAAGATCGCAGCCCCCCAAGGGACGACGAGGTTTCGCGGTGATCTGCGTAAGACGTACCCCTGTTGGCCCTCCCAGAAGTCCAAGACAATGGCGACAGTTTCGCAGATCGCAGCCCCCCAGGGGACGGCGAGGTCTTGTGGTGATCTGCGTGGGACGTACCTCCGCCTGGCCTCCCAGGAACCCAAGAAAGAGGCGACAGTTTTGAAGATCGCAGCCCCCCAGGGGGCGACGAGGTTTCGCGGTGATCTGTGTACGACGTACGTCTGCTGGCCCCCCCAGAAGTCCAAGAACGGGGCGACAGTTTCGCAGATCGCAGCCCCCCAGGGGACGGCGAGGTCTTGTGGTGATGTTCGTGGGACGTACCTCCGCTGGCCCTCCCAGGAGCCCACGAAAGTGGTTTCGCAGATCGCAGGCCCCCATGATACGGCGAGGTTTCGCGGTGATCTGCGTGGGACGTACCTCCGCTGCCTTTCCAGAAGCCCGCGGAGGCGGTGACAATTTCGCAGATCGCAGCCCCGCGCGGGACGGCAAGGTCTCGTGGTGATCTGCGTGGGACGTACCTCCGCTGGCCCTCCCAGGAGCCCACGAAAGTGGCGACAGTCTCACAAATCGCAGCCCCCCAGAGGGCGGCGAGGTCACGAGGCAGGGAGGAGGAGGAGGAGGAGGAGGAGGGATGAGAGGAGGAGGGAGGAGGAGGAGGAGGAGGGAGGAGGAGGAGGAGGAGGAGGAGGAGAGGAGGAGGAGGAGGATCATGGAGGGAGAGGAGAAGGAGGAGGAGGAGGAGGAGGAGGAGGAGGAGGACGAAGAGAAGGAGGAGGAGGAGGAGGAGGAGGAGGAGGAGGAGGTGGGGACCGTAGTGCTGTATCCAAAACGAGTACCCAACACAGGAGGGTCGGGAGCCGTAGATCGGCGGCGAGCGAGGGGGGGAACTGAGAAGGAGAAGGTCTTCGTAGAAGGCGGCGGCGGCGGCGGCGGGACTTTTTAGAAACCGTCCGGCCTTCTGAAAAGTTTTTTCCTCAACCATTTGGTGGTATTGGGTCCTCGTTTTGAAGAGAAAGCGCCCCGCGTCACTCACTCACTCCTCCCCCTCCTCCCTGCGCCGCCCGCATGCGTCACTCACACTCATGTCGGCACACCCCGCACACGTTTCGTGGCCCCATAGGGAAAGAGCCCCACCGAAGGCCCCAGTGCCACCGCCCGCATGCGCCACACCCACCCTTTTCGGCACACCCAGTACAGCGCTTCGTGGCCCCATAGAGAGCTCCACCGAAGGCCCCAGTGCCACCGCCCGCATGCGTCACCCACACCAATTTCGGCACAACCCTCACACGTTTCGTGGCCCATATGGAGCCCCACCGAAGGCCCCAGTGCCACCGCCCGCATGCGCCACCCACACGCATGTCGGCACACCCCTCACTCGTTTCGTGGCCCCATATGGAGCTCCACCAAAGGCCCCGGTACCACCGCCCACAGGCGTCACCCACACCCATGTCGGCACACCCCTCACACGTTTCGAGGCCCCACAGGGAGCTCCAGCGAGGGCCCAGGTGCCACCGCCCGAATGCGTCACCCACAACCATTCTGGCACACCATTCACGCGTTTCGTGGCCCCATAGGGCGCTCCACCGAAGGTGCCAGTGGCTGCGTTCGCATGCGCTCACCACACCCATTTCGGCACACCTTTCACATGTTTCGCGGCCGGATAGGGAACTCCACCGACGCCCCCAGTGGCTGCGTTCGCATGCGCCCACCGCATCTATTTCGGCACACGTCTCATGCGTTTCGTGCCCCCATAGGAAAGTCGACCGACGGCCCCAGTGGCTGCTTCCGCATTCGCCCACCGGACAAATTGTGGCACACCTCTCACACGTTTCGTGGCCCTGTAAGGAGCTCCTCCGAATGCGGTGCGTACAACGACGGACTTCACAACTGCATATGGTTGGGTCCTTCGCCAGGTTAAATGTCTCCGGGGAAGGCTTAGCAAATTGCCCAAAAGGACGCGGGACTCCCGAACCTTCTGACAAGGCCTTCTCCTTCTCACTTCCCCCCGTCGCTCGCCGCCGAGTAGACTTCACCGTCCTGCGTCATTGTTCGAGCCAGATCGATATGTGAGGGTCCCGGGGGCCGACACAATACGCGGAAACGCCCGGCTCGGAACAACAGGGACGCCAGGATCTCAGGGGTGGTGGTGGTGGTGGTGTCGCTTTTCCTTGTTCCTCCCCCTGGCCTCGCGTCAGTCCTCTTCACCGACCGCCCTCTTCTGCCCGCGAAGTGCCTTCTCGCAAACGTCGGAACAAAACATCCCCTGCGGCGGACCCAGGCGACTTGCGAATATTTGCGTTCAAGGGAAGAAAGCCACCATGACCCGACAATTGGCGTTTACACGGCCCTGGGCGTTTACTAAACAGCCTTGCCCCGCTTGATTCCTTTTTGGGGCGCGTTTACTAAGCGGCCTCGCGTGTCGGGATGGTTGTTCTCGGGGTGGATTCTCTGCCCTCTATACTTTTGCGAGTAGTGGAACGCGTTTGTGTACCTCTCGGCGGCGAGCGAGGGGGGGAAGTGAGAAGGGGCGGGCCTTCTCAGAAGGCTTGGAAGTCCCCTGGCCTTCTGAGATGTTCTCTGAGCCTTCGCCGAAGACAGAACATTATCCTGGCGAAGAACCCAACCATTTGCAGTTGTGAGTGCCGTCGTTGCTGGTATCGCCTTCGGAGGATCTTCTCACGCGGCCATGAAGCATGCGAAAGGTGTGCCGATGTGGGGCGGGGCCGCCACGGGGCCGCGAAAAGTGTAAGGAGTGCGCCGCAGTGGGGCGGGAACGCCACTGGGGCCTTCGGTGGAACTCCCTACGGGGCAACGAAACAGTGTCATGGGTGGGGAAACGCATGCGAATCCAGCCACCGGGGCCTTCGGTGCAGCTCCCCATGAGGCCACGAAGCGCTGTGCTGGGTGGGGGGAACGCACGCGAACACCGCCATTGGGGCCTTCGTTGGAGATCCTATGGGGCCATGAAGCGCTGCACTGAGCGGGGGCGACGCATACATGTGCATCCACAGGGGCCTGCCGTTGAATTCCCTATGGGGCCACGAAGCGCTGTACTCGGTGGGGGTGACGCATGTGGGCGGTGCCACTGGGGTCTTCGGTGGAGCTTCCTGTGGGGCCACGAAGCGCTGTACTGGGTGGGGGTTACGAATGCGGGTGCAGTCACTGAGGACTTCGGTGGAGCTCCTTATGGAAGCGTGACGCATGCGGGCGGTGAAACTGGGGCCCTCGGTGGAGCTCCCTATGGAGCCACGAAGCGCTGTACTGGGTGGGGGGGTGACGCATGCGGGCGGTGCCACTGGGGCCTTCGGTGGAGCTCCCTATGGGGCCACGAAGCGCCGTACGTGGTGGGGGGTGACGCATGCGGGCGGTGCCACTGGGGCTTTCGGTGGAGCTCCCTATGGGGCCACGAACCGCTTTACTGGGTGGGGGGGGTGACGCATGCGGGCGGTGCCATTGTGGCCTTCGGTGGAGCTCCCTTTGGGGTTACGAACCGCTTTACTGGGTGGGTGTGGCGCATGCGGGCGGTGCCACTGGGGCCTTCGATGGAGTTCCCTGTGGGGCCACGCAGCGCTGTACTGGGTGGGGGTGACGCATGCGGGCGGTGCCACAATGGTCTTCGGTGGAACTTCTAATGGAGCCACGACGCGCTGTACTGGGAGGGGGGTGACGTATGCTGGCGGTTGCATTGAGGCCCTCGGTGCAGCTCCCCTATGGAGCCACGAAGCGCTGTACTGGGTGGGGGTGACGCATGCGGGCGGTGCCACTGGGGCCTTCGGTGGAGCTCCCTGGGGGGCCACGAAGCGCTGTACGTGGTGGGGGGTGACGCATGCGTGCGGTGCCACTGGGGCCTTCGGTGGAGCTCCTTATGGGGCCACGAAGCGTGCGAGGGTTGTGCCGAAATGGGGGTGGGTAACGCATGCGGGCGGTGCCACTGGGGCCTTCGGTGGAGCTCCCTACGGCAATGGGGCCACGAAGCGCTGTATTGGGTGGGTGAAACGCAGGGAGGAGGGAGGAGGGGGAGGAGGAGGAAGGAGGAGAGCGCGGGGACCGTCTCTGCAAAACGAGGGCCCGCTTCTCGGAAGGCCAGGGGGCTTCGAGATGTTCCGCCGCCTTCTGAGAGGGCCTTCCCCCCCTCGCTCGCCGCCGAACCTCTGCTTGCCGCGCCAAGCAGGCTCTCCAGGAGGCCACGGAGGCCGAGAACCGGGCCCTGGAGGCCGAGCGCAGGGCCGAGGAGCGGCCCGGCCGGGCCGTGGGCAGCGGCGCCCCTCCTCGGCGGGGGGGGGGCGGTGCGCGGGGGGAGGCCGTCCACCTTCTAGGCCTCCTTCTCCTCCTCCCTCCTCCTCCTCCTCCCTCCCCGCCCCTCCTCCTCCTCCTCCTCCTCCTCCTCCTCCTCCTCCTCCTCCTCCACACGCTCCTCCTCCTCCCTCCCTCCCTCCCTCCCTCCCCCTCCCTCCCTCCTCGCCCTCCTCCAGGTACCGATGCCGCTGCGGAGTGCTGCAGGAGTAGATGGGGTCGGAGGATCGTGCCGCATCGCCGATGCATCGCCGATGCGGCCCGAGGTGGAGCCTGATTTGCTTCACTCCGACGTCCCCGATACATCGCCGATGCATCGACGATGTATCGCCGGTGCATCGCCGAGGCATCGACGATGCATCGACGATGTATCGGCGATGCGGCGCGATCCTCCGACTCGTATCTGCTCGGACCCCATCCAGGAGGCCTCTGCACCTGCAGGGACGCCCCGGGAGGGCGACGGCCGGCACGGTCGATGTGGTAAAGCGCCGGTCGTTGAGATTAGGGGCAACGATAGGGGGGGATAGGCATAGGGGGGGAATGAATGCATCGACCCCCAATCGCCCACTGATCGCCGATAGGTGCCCGATCGCCCCGACCTGCCCAAGAAGGTGCGGATTCACTATTGGAGGCTATCATCGCCGATGTCGATCCATCGGCGATGTATCGCCGATTCCAGGTCGATGCATCCCCACCTATGCCAGTCCCCCCTATCGTTGCCCACATGAGAGTAGTTTTTTTATTCCCAGATCCCCGTCTACTTCAAGCGCCTTCCTCCTTCCAGAATCGCTGTGCTCTTGCCGTGTCTTGTTCTTCTCTGGGAGGGCATGCGCCCAAGCTGCTGTATCCACTTACTGGTTTGACCTCCCTCTTCCGACCGGCGTGTACGGAACGAATGAGCTCCCGCCCATTCTAAACAGGACTCGCTGTCGGTGTCGCCGTGGACGTACTGTCCACTTGAGGCAGAGGGGGCCGCCTCCCCAACGGCGGCCGCTGCCGCTTGTGGATAACGTTCGCTGTTGGGCATCGTGCCCATTTGCCCCGTGGCACTACAGGGGCTCAGTGTTCGCTAGGGATTGGCTCCCCCCGAAACGAGCAACACCCTTCTGAATCCAGCCCTGGATAATTCGAAAAGCCCCCCTGAACCCTTCCGTAGGGGGGTCGGAGGGAAAACCGAGGGATGCGAGTTCCACCCATCGTTCTGCAGAGAGCAGCAGCGTGAGACAAGAGACGAGGGTGGCTTTGCTTGGTAGGGGGCCACATGCGAACCCTGCCCCTATCCTCCACGATTTCTGAGGGGGAGGATGGGGTTCACTTCGCTCGGGAGCTCCCAAACGAAGTGAACCCCACCCTCCCCCTCAGAACTCGTGGGGGGCACGGGTAGGGTTCACATGTGGCCCCCTAGGTTACTTCGAGCGTGGCTACGGACCCCTCGCCGGGCATCCCCTCGCAGCGCCAAGAGCACCGCCGCGGAGGCCTCTGGCAGCTTCCGGCGCCCGCGGGCCCCCCTGCAGGGCCCCTTGCGATCCGATCGGTGCGATCCGCTGTCCTTGGCATCGCTCGGACGTGTGCATTTTTCCTTCGGCGAAGACCATAGAGGTTGCACATTCTCCATTTCAGTGCGAAGTGATCGCGCTGTCCACCGCCATGTCACGAGTTTTGAATCGACTACGCCACCTTTCTTCTCGCTGAGCCGGCGCAGGCCGGTTTTCAATTTAAGTAGCTCCAGCCATTGAGCAACCTAATTCATCCACAGCCATTTGTTTGCTGCTCATCGGGCTTGTCATGGCATTCGCCCGGGCGAAAGAAAAAAAGAAAGAAGACCATAGGGGAGCATCCTTGATCATTTGGCGAAAAATCCACGCACGAAACTGAAACAAAGCACAGGGAATGGACGTCCGAGCGATGGCGAGTGTCTGTTTCGGCCGCTTCGATTCGATTCCGAGGATCCGGCGACCCGACGCGGCTGGGTGGTTGCATGACGCTGTCGTGCATCCTGGCGATGGTGGGCGTGACCGGGAGGGGGGGGAGGGGAGGGAGGGGGGAGAGGGCTGGCCACGCCACGATTCGCGCCAGCGCCGCCTGGGCATGCCTCCGAGTGGCCCGTTCTCCGACGGCGCCGGCGCGGGTCGTGTCGTGACCAGGGGGGAGGGGGGGAGGGGCAGGGCCGGTCACGAGCGTCATCGCGAGCAATGAAAGCAACGAGCTCCACTCCCCGAGTCACCCCATCCAATCCGGATGCCCAGGAATGCAGGGACACACTCGGGGAGACCCCCCTGGGGGCGCACCCCCATCAGGATGGACGCCCTCCCACCGCATATCCAAGAGTTGGGCCCCACATGTTTTGTCCAATCGGAAGTCCCCCAAACGGGGACTTATTAATACGCGCCACTTCCGGAGGGAGGTCTCCAGGGTCCCCCAGAGGCACCTGGAGGCCCATCCTATTCACCAAGAGCGTTGAACGCCTGTGTTCCTCGATCGAGAGGGCTCGGGTCTAAAGAAGGCTCGGTCAGTGCGCCCTCGCCCGTTGGCGGAATGGAAGACAGCGCGCGCGGTGGATGCCAGCTATACGCCGTTACCGATCGTGGCCATGCCCTCCTTCAGAGGACGCGTACTGGGGGAGCGTCAAATGGGGGGGGGGGGGGGGGCAGCGAGAGCTGCAGAAAGGAGCCCGTTGGGGTCCCAAAAGGAGCCCCTTGGGGCCCAACAGGGGGCCTGCAGGGCCCAAAAAGGGTACCTTTTCTCCCCTCCGCCATTGCTCGCCCCCCACCAATTCGTCCCCAGCTCCTACCTTGGCAAGGGATGCGCATGCACCGATCCTTGGCGGGGATGGCCCCTCCTCCCCCGCAGGAGGCCAAGCGCGAAGCGGATGCCGCGGCCGTGCGCCGGGCGCAGGCCGAAGGCAAGCTGAAGGCCGGGGCAGTTCGATCTCGGGGGCGGCGACAGAGGCGAAGGGTCCGGGGGCGGCACTGCGAGCACAGTCGGGCAGAGGAGTAAAGTGGAGGTCGGTTCGGGGAGGGTGCCATCGTGTTCTTCGTGCCTGCTGGATGGTCTTGTGCATCCTGGGGGGGGGGGGACCCCTGGATGTTCTGTGTGTGTGTGTGTGTGTGTTTTGGCCGACGGAGGGCCTCCTGCTCTCGAAGGACTTCTGGCCCAGGTCCGACTGTGCTCGCCTGGGAGCCTCGCCGTAGGCATGGGCCATAGGTGCCTCTGGACTCCCTGGACACGCGTATTGCGCTTCCCTGGGCTGTTCGCCCCCGTCGTCGCTCCCGGATCTTCAGGGCCACCGCCCGCCAAGCCGACCGCGCCTCGGCGTCACCCAAAGCGGCTCGCGCGCCGAGGAATCTCACAGTACATGCTCCCGTGGCGGGTTGTTTCTGGCCATACTGCTCGGGAAGCGTTGTACAATAACATGTTTGCATCATGTCCGGGTCGGATGCACGCCACCGTGGAGGACACATGGTATTAGTACGTCCCTCTGCGTCTCAACGGTTGACGCCGGAATGGGCTCCAGCGCTAACGCCAGATGAGGAACATATTCCGATGCCGCTGCACGTCCTCGAGATCCCTCGTCCCCACCACGGCATGATTCGCCTCGAGATCCCGTTCAGATTGCACGCAGCTCGCAACGCAACGCACACCGCCACACAACCTGCTAGAGGCGGCGGAGAGCTTGAGAGATCCACATATCAAACATCGGGGGGGGGGGTGCAGCATGGGTATCTTTGGGTTCCCCAGTGTCGGGGGTCAGCCGAGCCCCCTGGCTGACCCAGGCCTCCTCCTCCTCCTCCTCCTCCTCCTCCTTCTCCTCCCCCCCCCCTCCTCCTCTCGGCCACGCGCAGAGGGGGGTGGGGTGAGGGGGAAGGCCTCTTACAAGGGCTACTTGAGAGCGCGGGCCTCATCTATAGATATAAGGCCGGCGCCTTCTAAGAAGCAGCCTCCTTCTAAGAAGCCCTCCCCCCTCCCTCCACCCCATTGTGCGCGCCGCTAGTCCTCCTCCTCCTCCTCCTCCTCCTCCTCCTCCTCCTCCTCCTCCTCCTTCGCCCCCCCCGGCTGACCAAGTTTTGTGAGCTGCTCCTCGGCCGGCCCAGGCTCTCGGCATGGCCTCGGAAGTCTCGGGGGTCAGCTTTGACCCGGGCTGGGGCGTCCCCGAAGTTTGGGGGGGTGGCTGTGGCCCTTGCCCCTCTGGGGAGGGCCCCTCGGCTTCGACACCCTCTTGGGGGGAGGTCGGTGATGCGGTGGGTCCCGACCAGCCAACCCCGATTGGGAGGAGATGGTTGGGGGAGGACCGAATGGGAGGAGGAGGGAGGAGCATAAGGAGGAGGAGAATAAGGAGGAGGAGGAGGAGGAGGAGGAGGAGGAGGAGGAGGAGGGACACGTGTCCCCAGTCTTTGGCTGGCTGGGCTTTGTCGCCTTGTGCTCGGCGGTGCGGCAAGGGCCAGGGCTGCGGCCGTCTGAGCAGGCAAGGGACCTCCTTAGGAGCCCTCCGAGAGGCCCCCTCCCGCCCCCGAAGCTGAGAGGGCCGGGGCTGCGGCCTTCTGCGAAGGCTTCTTAGGAGAGAGGCCCCCTCCCGCCCCCGAACCAGCCTCCTCGGAGGCCTCAAGGCGTCTTTGGCGGTCCAGCATGCGGGTGCCGCAGGCTGGGTTCGGGCAAATGGTTTCTAGGCGCCAGAGGGCGGTTCGCATTCCAGCTTGTCGGCCCTCTGGCACGCAGCAAGGCGCGGCAAGATGAGCCGGCTGCTTTGGCCAAGGGCGTGTTGGTAGGCGGGAGGGAGGGCTTCCAGGAAGCCCCCTGCCGTTGCAAAAAGCAGCCCCGTCGAGGCGCCACCAAATATCGGCGGGAACCCCTTGGCGCACATCTTCAATCGGGCGGTCGGCAGAAAGAGTTCGTGCCAGGGCAATCCAGTTCGAGCTGTAGTCGCGCTCTGGGCGCCAGGGGCTTGGATCTCCGCTCTGGGGCTTGTGTTCTCGTACTAACCCTCCCTTGCTTGCCTCTGTGTTCTTCCCCGCGCCAGCTTTCGGTGCCTCTCTTTCCCCCTCCCCCTTCATTCGCATGGTGTCCTGCCCTTTGCGGCCAGCATCGTCCACAGGGAGTCGGAGGAGATCTCGACAGCAGTGTGGCGTCAGATCGTGAGCACGGCGCGCCCCGAGTGCGAGGACGGCGCCGTCTCCGGCGGAGTCGCCTCCATGACTCGTTGGTGTTCCCCGCGCTCGTATACTGTCCAGTCTCGCTGTTCTATACAGTGTAATCCCATGCCAAGAAACACCCTGCTTGCATCCAGGGTGCCCTGGGTTTCTTCGGTTTCGATGGTTTTGCCATGGCAAGCGCGACGTCCCCGCACCAAAACTCAATAGACGTCCTGGGGTCTCAGGGTTGGGTTTCTTGTGGAAGGTTTCTTGCGGTCGAGCCCCTACCGTATCTTCCTCAACCACGGGATGCAGTGCGGACACCTCTTGGGATTCTGTGCCACAGTTCCTGACCCTTCGAGAAGGAGCTTGCCAATCGGCATGAGTGGAGCAGGGAGCACGAGGAGCTGGAGGCCGAGCACATGGTGCGGAAGGAGGTCCACAGCCAGGCGGTCCAGGATGCGAAGCAGGCGCAGAAGGAGGTCGGCCCGCTCAAGGAAGAGGCCCGGCGCAAGGCAGAGGCCCTGAAGAAAGCGGAGGCCAAGCACAAGGTGGAGGCCGAGCGCAAAGCGGAGGCCGTGCGCAAGATGCAGGAGAAGCAAGAGGAGGAAGAGCGCAAAGCAGAGGCCCAGCGCAAGGAGGAGGCAGAGCGCGCGGCGGAACGGGGGCTTCGAAGCAGTACCCGTCTCGTGCCCTTGACACGCTGCACCTCCTCAGTTCATAGATTGCCCCCTCTTCAGAGAATGGGGGTGACGTCGGAAGTGGAGGAGGGGCTTCGGATGTGTATCCAGCTGCCCGCGGCAAGACCCGCTGCCTTGCCCATCGAGCATGATACGGATTCGGGGCAGATGTCTTGAGGAGAGCGGCTCTAGAATTACATCGGGCCTGTCCCTCCACAGGGGGGATATTCAGAAATAGTCAACGCATACTGGGACTATTTTTGACAGTCTTGGAATCTGTTTGACCATCTTTCATTCTGCGTCCACAATCCGCCTGTAGGGGGACATGCCCGACAGAATCTCTGGGCTTTCCCTGGCCGCAGTGGTTCCAGGATGGTTCAGGAGGCCCTCCTGGGACTCTGGGACAGCGACATGCCCAGATCCCCTCGCTGTGTGAACAGGACACGACGG